TCCTCAATTTTCAGTTCAGTGATCATTCAAAATTACAATAACGTAGAAGGGGGTTGTGACCTGTGCCCAAAGTTACAGCTGTTGCAGCACCTCACAGTCACATGATAAAAATTAGGGGTTTGGGCAGCGGGTAACTGTGATGATCAAGTCAGCAATAAGGGGAGCCTTGCCTACAGATGGACCTGGCATTTAAAAGCAGTAGCCCAAAACCTGGGCCACTGTTAATCTGCTGAACAGGTAAATAGGTTGAGCTCAGGGGGCCAGAACATGAAACAGATTTAAGACATTAGGAGTGTGTTCCTTTTGAGTGGCTCACTCCCTTGTTTCCCAACCATTGTATCTCCCTATATCCAACACCACTGAGATACAGTGCGCCCCACACCCTATTCACCCCTCTAGTTTCTTCATCTCCCATCCTCAGCTTCCCTTCTCAAGCTAAAATGAACCCCCACTCCAAACGATATACATCACAGATAGAAGTAAAACTTGACAGGTGCTGTAGCAACACCTCTCCAAGTCACCGTGCCTCCCCTGTCATATCTTCATCTAACCCCCTACTAATTAATCAGTAGAATGAATTAATCAGAACAATTAATCAGTGGAACGACTTGCCTCCAGAAGCTATGAGTGCTCCAACACTGGAGGTTTTTAAGAAGAGATTGGACAACCATTTGTCTGAAATTGTATAGGGTTCCTACTTGAGCAGGGGGTTGGACGAGAAGACCTCCAAGGCCCTTCCAGCTCTGTTATTCTCTGAATTGCTCTCAGCCATGCTGCAGGGAGCCACTTCCCCCTGGTTCTCATCCAGAGAAGAGGATCTAAGTACACTCGCCTCACTCTCATCCCACAGTCCCAAGATCCCCAGAGAAACCTCTTCATAGTACAAAATCATGTTATTCAAAACAAAGTAGTCCAAGACTGGTTTCACACATAGCTGAGAAGATGAGGTGGCCGTGCAAAGCCTTCAGCAGCTGAGGAAGCCAAATACATTTCCTAGAATGCCACTGCTGCAGCCACTGGCCATCCACCATGTAGTGCAAATTCATGTTGACATAGTCTCCGCCATCCAAGAGTCCAGGGCTTCCATTGTCTGAAGTATAGACAGAAAGTCCAGCAGCAACCTATCATCCTCCACACTAATAGATCTTGCTGCTGGCCTTGATAGAGGACAGGAGAGCTTAATTTCTTTGCTGCCTCCATTATTGAGGGGTCCTTGGTACTCTCTGAGCATGCTTGTTTTCTTGCAGACATTTCATTACTCAAACAAGGTAACATCACCAATGCTAGTAAGGAGTGGGGTTTGCTTTTGGTTTATATTCTAGTGGCTTGCTCTGTCGGTGTTGGTAGGGGTGTTCTTAGAGATTCTTTGGTTGGGTTGTTTACTTTGGCTTCTTTGGCAGTTTCTTTATTGGGATATTGATTACTGGATTGTTGGTCTGATGTTAACCTTGGAGTTAATCTATGCTGATCTGGGTGCTGATTGCTGGTGTCGAGGTGCTTGGGTCTTTTTGTTCTTTTTTGGCCTGGATGATTGTCTCTTTTGTGTAGTCTGTAGATGTTGTTAATGTCTGTGTGTCTATTGATGGCTGATTTGTCAGAGTGCCGGGCTTCTAGAAATTCCCTGGCGTTTTTGGACTTGGCTTGGTCTAGGATAGTCACATTTTCTCAATTGAAACTATGGTTAAATCTGTCTATATGTTTCACTTATCTTTACCATCTTGGATATTGATATACTATATGAAAATGAGTCCTGGACTAAATATTTTCTGCTTAAAATGAAGAGACATTAAAGGGAAATACCTCATATCCATATTACATAACAACAAAATACTGTAAAGCATGAGTTTAAATAATAGTTTTGTTAAAGGACATGCTTCCTTGCTTCAGTTTATGTTTGGATGGCCAATACAGGTAATATACAAATTGTAAGCATTTTATAAGCAAATTATGAGCAATCCTTATCTACTGGTTTGGAATTAAGCCAATGTAAAGATTTTTTTTTTTTCCATACCTGCAAATTTGTAGTCTGTTAGTTCTTGGGCTTAAATTCAAAACATATGTTCTCCATCATCATGGTGAGAAAAGGCGTTCAGGTAAGACAACGCCCCTTTTATAAATATTTTGCTTCTGAGAGACTGTTGCAAGTCAAATATTTATCTTTGGTTTAAGGCATAACAATGTCTCTAAGTAAAGATTTGTAGTGCTTGTTGGAAGTTGAATTTTCAACTGAAATATTTCAGTCATTTTCATTGTGCATTCTGAAATACGAGCATTTGTTTCCTTTTTTGGTGTTGTTCCATAGTCTTTATCTATCCTATGTAAGTGGCAGATGCTTCTTTTTAGGCAGAAGTTGTTCAAAGCTTCTCAAGCCAAAAGATAAAACCATATTATGAAATGCCTTCCAATGTAATGTGAACCGGGCAGCTGTAATATTGTTTTAAAAATAATAAGGGCGTAAAGAATGAGCAACATTTTCAGTTTTGCATTGTATTCCCTCTGGGCTATCTCCTCCTAGCTACACCCTGACAGCTGTTACAGCTGTATGATTATTAAATTTATATCCTGCCTTTCATGTAGGATATACATGCAGTGGGGAAATACATTTTATTCTCCCAACAACTTTGTAGGTTGGCCTACAACAGTGATGGCGAACCTTTTAGAGACCTAGTGCCCAAAAACCGCCTGACCCGCCCCCGCTCTGCCCCACTCTCACCTGCCCACAGGGCCACCCACTGCCTCCACGGCCCACTGCAGGAGATCGCCCAGGCAGCCCAGCAGCGCCATGATGGCCATGCCCTCCGCCCGCATCCCGGGTGACGGGGCGCGAGGGCGGAGTCTGTCCCTGCTGCCCGGCTGCCATGTTCTTGGCTGCGCTGCTCTGCACGGGCTGCATCCGGGAGTGACTCTCCTCTAGGGGGGCTGCTGGTGAGGGGCCCACGGGGGGAGGCAGGGCTGGAGCAACGGCCCGTGTGCCCACAGAGAGGGCTCTGAGTGCCGCCTCTGGCACATGTGCCATAGGTTCGCCACCACTGGCCTATAAGATAGGGAGTATCCTAGTGTGACTCATGAGTTTCATGATTGGGTGTGCACTTAAACCTGGCAGTCCCTTGTTACAATCCAACATTTGAACCACTATGTTACACTGTCATTCCCTTCTTTATTTGTTTTTCCTTCCCAACATGTGTGACATGTGGTAAGATACGCTCCTTCCTTGCATGTCCTTTTTTCCCTCCACTCTTCAAATCACTCCTGTTATCTGTAATGGAATCAGGCCAGAATGACAGTCCTTAAGATCAGTCATATTCCCATATCTCATGCACATTCGGTGAATATTGGGTAAAGATTTCCCCTGTCCAATTCTGCCTGTGCTCATCTCTGTTTCTTGGCTGATGGAGCCAGCTGTCCAATGACATTTTCCATGCCCATGTGGTCAGCATGACTATACACCAAAGGCACATGGAATACTGTTACCTTCCCACCAAAGTGGTACATGCTTTTGAAACTACTACGTAGGTAGGCAAGAGCTGAGGGACGTAACGGGAGTTCACCCCATTGCAGAGCACTCGGGACCGGGCTGTCAGTTTTCCAGCAGATAAGCTAAGAGTCTTTAACCACTGAGCCACCACACCTCCTGGGACCAAATCATAAATCCAGTGAATAAGAAGCTCTACTTAGAAGCTTAGCAAAGCTTAGAAGGAGAAGCTGCTGGTGGACAGGGCTATTTTCTGCTGAGGTAGGGATCCCTAAAATGTGTGACATCATAATGGAACAGCCTAAAGCAGACATGTCAAACACGTGACGTCACGTAACGTATCGGGAGAGTTTTGCCCTTGACGGTAATGGGATGGGCGCTTTAGGCTTCCGCATGACGCCTAAAGAATACTGATAAAAGAATTCAAGAAATAGAGAACTTTGAATCTCAGTGACTTTAATGGGAATTTATTTTATGCTTTGTGATGTGGAGACAAGCTGAAACAGTAAAGAGGATAGTATCCTATTTATCTTTCCTGCTTCGGCAGGGCTTATCCACACCCTGGCTACACCAGGGAAAGGAGGAGAGTTGTCCATTATATTTCTAAGAGTTTTTGAAGATTTACAACACAGAGAAAGGAATTGACATTTGTGATTTCCCTCTGCCTGGTGTTTTTTTTTTAAGGTTTATTTTCTTGAAAGTTTAGAAATGGTATAAGTCAGTCCAAAGAGAATCTGGATAA